GGTATATATATATTGAGAATGAGCTTCGACTTTTGCTATTAGGCAACTTGTATTTTGTTTATTTGAGTTGTCAGCAAATAATGTCAGATCGATTCAGATAATAAGAAAATGCGTGATACTACTAATTACTAAAGGTTAAATTGTATAATGGTCAAAAACTGAAAAGCAGATGATGCAAAAGGCATGCCCATCTTAATGCGTTTGCTAGGCTAACCTCGTGATTCTACACCTCTCTTCATGCTCTAGCATTTCCAAGATAACTTAATTTATGGACGGTGGCTCATAAATATATATAAATACCGTATGTGTGAGTGCGACAAATATAATTTAATCATAAACTGTATGTAATAATTCGTACACTAACTAGTTGATTTCTTCATTGATTATATATATTATATTCGATCACCAAATTAAACACCCTCGTTAAAAAAGAAAACAGCGGTAAACTCGCACAAATGTAAAAATTATAGTAACTCAATATGAAGTAAGTTGTATGGTTTACACCTTTGTGTGCATCTATTTTAGATTAGCTATTTGAACATAAATTTTCCAAACTGAACATATAATGCTGATAAGAAAAGCAAGAGGTTAACTACTGAATAAAAAAACCGTATGTTGATGTAATGTTGAATAAAAAAGAGGTTAACCACCGAAACACAATAATGTCGATAAGAAAAGATATATAGCTTTGACGAGCAGTGCAAGCATTACTAGTATAATGTCTATAAATAAGTTAGTCTAAATCAACTACTCTCATTTTATTGGATAAGTTATGTTTAGACGGATAAACTCAAAATATATCTTCTACTTCTGTTATTTGAAAATTAACTCAGGTTATATCTTTCAGTGTTTATATATACATTTTACATTTTTTAGAACATAAATAAATTTTTACTTTGATGGCAGAAGAGACTTTTAATATGAAACGTAGAAAGTGGAAAAGTATTCTATTTTGTGACAAAATCAATACACCCAAATTCAATTCTCAACCTAGACGAAATGTAGGACAACGTAAACACAACCTCTGATATGGAAAATAGATTAAAATTTCCCAAACACAAATGGAAAGAGATGTCGACAAATGAAGTTAAAATTAAATAAAAATGTAAGCAATCTATTTTTTATTATTAGGGGTTTTGAATATACGCCAAACTAATGCGAGACTAATTAGTAATGTGGCAATGTCACTAGTCGTAACAAGGAAGAGAGGTTCGTGGGACACGTGGCGCGATGTTAGGTCAACAGACGTGGCAACAAGAACCATGAAAGTAACAGACAAAACCATAATTAATTATTTTTCTGAACAAAAAGAAACAAAATTAGAAAGAGGTGAAAGAAGCAACGGTGGGTACACCGTGCCTTTCTCAACGGCTGCATTAATACAAATTTAATACAGAAAAAATTACTCGGTAAAATGCTTTTGAAAAACATGAATTAATTTTCAAATTTTAGAATATTGAAACCAAATTTCTTTGTTTTTTTCTGACCTTTTGAAAATTGTAATAAAAGTGAGAATAATGCCAAGCTGGCACTACACACGTGCCCATGCGACCCTCGTATCCCGGCAACTTCATCACACGTGGACCAGAGGTCCCACACCTTTAGATTTTTTTGTCATTTTTAGACACGTGGCATTGTCA